TTAAATTTCTTTACTTGGTTGATTTTAACATCCCCAATTTGCATTACATATATTGGGTTCACATTACAGATTATAAAATAATTTCATTTTCTTTTTAATCAAGCTTTCTCCTCGTCCTAGGTAAGAGAGGACAACGCATTCCTTTTAAAAATATTCATTTTTTTTTTCATTATTTTTTCATTTTTCTCTGGTTTTAGCTTAATTAGAAAATTATTCAGAAAGTAAAGTTTGTTTTTTTGAGGAGATAACGCCAGTTGATGAATGGCGGTTATTTCTTTAAATTACGGTTAATTACAACCTAATGAGCATGAGTAATTTTATCTATTTCATCAATTGATAAATACTATGAGAAACATACACTTGAGGACTTCTGAAGTAAATACAGAAAATTGCCGTAAACACATGAAGAAATATGTCTCCGCACTTTCTGCATTTGCTGAAGGAAAAATATATCATTAGATATTTGCGATTTGTATTCGAAATTACATCAATAAAAGAAAGTTTCTTTTCTAATGATATGTCATATCTAGAAAAGGATTATAAAGAGTTGGAAACAATAACGACATTTATCTAATGTTATATTTTGCCAACATACTTCAAAAGTCTTTAATTAAGATAGCTTTATCCAAATTATAGAACGAGTAAAAATTATTAAGGAATTAGTCCGTTTTTAAGCATACATTTTTGAATAGAGTGTTGTATTAACAAGTGCGTAAAATATTATGACGAAAAAATGTTTTCTACAAAATGAGGCTGGAAATATTGTACATCCCTAATATATCAATACAAAGAACGAAAGTATTATTACAACTTGCCTGTGAGTCCTTTATGGGTACATAAAATGACTTTTGTTCAATCAGTCATAGACCCTATAAGTTATGTAATTTTTTTTTCCACTTGTATCCGGTGCTCCTGTTATATATCTCGATAATCTTGACAAAAATCAAACAATTATTTGTAGTGTAATCCATCCTGATCTGGCATGTCGACTTCGGTTACTTTCTCACCGACATAACGTGGATTATCTCTGTCTTTTCTACAAATATTTTCATGGCAATTGTTCTCGTGAACTGTTCTTCTCAGCTACATGAATTTAACCGTGCTACGAGTTTGGTACCAAGACTTATGGTTTTACTGTTGAACTAGCTAAATGCAATCCTCAGTTCTATTCTAATAGTTTCATTTTTCGCTTTGGGATTTCCTATTTTCTTTCCGATTTCTTGCTTGCCTGCCATCTACAATCTTCAAGCATTTAAATGCAACGTCAATCGCCATCTTTTGTCTTCCGGAATCCTGTTCCTTTAATATCTTTTTCCTCACCTCTCCTCTAAAGTCTTCTCATTATGTTTCAGTCGCTGGAATCTCCTACATCTTAGTGACATTGTCGTCTTGCTTGGTGTGAAATGATTAAAAAAATGTCAGAATATTAAGAGCAAATCCCTTAACTATTATTTGGTGTTAGTTACGCAGACTGAACCTGCTCCAACATATTGCATAAGGGTTTAATCGGATTGAGATCTGTGGGGTTTTGGTAAGGTCAACACAGTGATTTTCTTTTTCGTACTCCTGAAATAATACCTATGAAATTCGTGTGGAATGGCAGGATGCATTAGCGTTGTGCAGTCGAAAGACGCCGCTGCTATCGTAGGAAACTGTTGCTATGAAATCATGTACCGAGTCTTTAAGGATATTTTGGTAGGTGGTACTCATTAATGCATCATTAATTACATATGAATGAAATGGCACAGAGCTTCCTAGTAAAACTTTGCCTATATCACATTCTTTCGACGAATTTCTTGCTTTTACACTATCTACCTGATGACATAGTGTCTCTAGATTAACGACATACATCAATACTGTAATCCATATGAAGTGAAAATAACATTCGCGCGATAATGTGATCGTCAGTAATTGATAGAGGATTCAGTACCAACGCTTGGAAGTCGATTGAAAATGTTTTCAACGATAGATATTGGTTATCATGAGGACTCTGACTGAGCCAAACGCAATGGCACAAATATACTGTATGTTCTTAGGCATGACTTCTTTCAAACTGAGTAAAACTAAGTATGCCAGAGTAGCTTTTTTATTGATTTGCATTTGACAGAAAAACCTACTTTCTCATCTATAAATCTTTGACCAATGCTTTGTCGATAGTGTGGTCCTTTCTTGGACCATACTTGAACCATGTGAATGAGAGCATTTAGCACTTTAAAAACCCTCTTGTTTGGGAAAAGGTTCTGACCTAGTCTTCTGGAGATAGCTGTTTGGCTTTATTCAGAGTCCCGAAAACCCCACTTTCTATCAATAACTTCAGTATTTAGTAACTAGAAATGAAATACTTGAGGGTAGTTAACATCATTATATACTTTTGACTTTGTTAACAGACACTAGCTGTCATTCTTTACCCATATCGTTGATTTAAGTGCATCAGTATATATATAATCATATATGGTTATCTCATGTTATATTTTTCTTAGGTTACTTGGGAAGACGTTTGAAATCAATTCGGATCTCATGAATTGAATTCATTTCACAAATTGTTTCATTTGTTTCATTTTGTTTTTTTTGTTGTTGTTGTTGTATTTTGGGGGCTTTGTTTGTTTTTTGTTGTTTTTTGTTTTGATTTAAATGCCTGGAGTGTTGTAAAGGACCAAATAAAGTTTACAGTCCAGTCTAAATATATTTTAAACTCTCATACCTTTCAAATAAATATTATTTCATTCCACTTTTGTGTCATATCATAAAAAGACGTCACTCTCAAGGCTTAAGGTATTCGAAGTCCCTCCCTTACTTTGACAGTTTGTGTACCTGTGTGTCGATGACCGCCATCTGACAGTTTGCTGTTCGAACTTTCACCATAGAGAAGTAACACTTTACCTCCCTTGAAATATTGTATTACTTTTCCACTACATGTGAACATGCCAACAGTCACCGTTGCGCATCTCTTAGGGAAACACTGACATCGTTCGACAGTTTAGGTGATAGAAATTACTGTTTGATTGAGAGCTTAAATGTGGCGTAGCTGGCAATCTTTAAGGCATTTTTTTCGTCTCAACACAATACAACCTTCAATGACCGAGCGAGATTCCGTCGTTCGCCGGCACGTTAAGAAGGAACGACGTTAAAAATCTTCCACACAATCCTCTCCATTCTGTTTGTTTATTCTTTTCTTTCTTTCCTCGTGGAAAAGAGAAAAACTTGTCCAAGTTCTACCGGTTCTATTGGTGATTTGTTTTTCCAGACGAGTGGTCAGCACTTTTTCTTTTCCTCTCATTGGATACGACCGGACATTGGGTGTTGCGACAGGTTGCCGGGAAAATATTGACCTTTCACTGTTTGAAAGAATGTTGCTTCCGATCAATTCTTCATAAGAACTCGGCTTCGATCTGTCATTGGTGAATTGAACGCTTCTCCATTGTAATATTCTTTGTTTCGACTGACTGACGGAGACACGGACGCGAATGCCTTCAGTTTCCAATATGGAAGCTCAGACGCAGCATCGATCGAAATTTTGAGGTTTCCTAATCGTATCAATGGTTTGTCCGTATTCTATATCTTTCCTTCCTTTCCATTTATTCTTTTATTTTTTTTCTTCTTCAGAGAGTCTGATTTCTATCTTCCATTTTATATATATATATATATATATATATATATATATATATATGTATGTATGTATATAAACACCGTGAGAACGAAAACAAAGGATAATTACCAATAAAAAGAGGGAAAAGAACAGGAAAACAAGTAATGGGCTGGGGAATGGCAAAAAAAAACTCAAAATGGTGGGGCAGAGAAATGGCGTAAGGGAGAGGGCAACTTCGAAAAGATAAGACAATGGAGAAAGGTTGAAGAAGACGAGGCAAGATCAAAAACAGTGCGTGTAGCCAAAGACATAAAAACGATAAATAAACCTACAGATTGCAAAGATAAGAAAAGAAACACGAAGGAATAAAGAATTAAGCGTGCGAAACAAAAACCAAAGGCGAAGAAAAATGAAGCAGATGGATAAGATAAAACGAAAACATAAAAAACAATTAATGAAAAGAAAAATAGACAATGAAAAGTAATTGGTGAAGAGTAAACACTAATGGGAAGAGCTTCAGAAAACCCTTTGCATACACGCAAATATATATATATATATATATATATATATATATATATATATATATATATATAAAAAATAAAGCTCAGATGAGTTGGGCATAAGGCTATGGAAAAGAAAAGGTTTGTTTGACTGCCTTGGAAATCGTCATTCGTAATTCTGTTGGTTTGAATTCTGTTGGTTTGAATTAACGCTAACATCGGACGATAATAGAAAATGCATAACTAACTCATACATACATCAACAAACCTGTGTGGGTATGTGAGTGCGTGTGTTTCTGTTCGTGTATATATATATATATATATATATATGCGTGTCTGTTCGTACAGATCTGCGCCCGTGAGTATGTGTGTGCGTGTGTTTTGCGTATATATTGATAGACTTTATGTGCATGTGTAAAGTACCTGTGTTCATGTGTGTAAAAAAAGTATCATGTGTGCAATATATAGGTATTTATTAGGTAACTGAGTGACAAAGGAAAATATTTTTGTTATTCAGCTACTTAAAGTGTTCTAATTTATAAGATTTTATCTTTTATATATATATATATATATATATATATATATATATATATATATATATATATGTATGTGTGTGTGTGTATGTCTATAGAGATGTATGCAAATGCATGAATACAAGTGTATACATATATACGCACGTTGGACAAAGAGCTGACGAAAAATTCTCGGCCCAACCTATTTCTCAAAGCCAGTACTTCAATGAACGAACATTCGAAAACTCATTTTTGTGTGTGTATATATATATATATAAATGTGTTTGTATTTATTGACTCTGTTCAGTATAGCCGATTCAGCAGGCTTCTCCACCCACTTTCTCACTTCTCGTCTCCAGGTTGAATGAAGCGTACATAAAATTCTATCTATCCATCTAAGACATGAACCATGCGAAAATAAAATATTCGGCGAAGCGTGATCACAGATTTCTTTACGCTGACTTCCAGACACTCTTTTGCAAAGACTGTATGCACATTATCAAGTTAGGTAAGCAGATTTCTTCCATTGGTGGCACTGAATTTAACTGAATCTTTCTCCTGTAACATTTCAAAAGAAAGAAATCAACTTATCAAATATGATCTTCGAACCATGGTGAAAAATAAGGAGTGTTTTACCGGTAAATAATAAGCAACCTTGGAAGTTTGTATTTGCACATGTGGATTGACTTTCTCTCGATCTCTCTTTTTATTTCTCTTCTTTCCCCTTCTCCCACTCCATATTTTTATTTCTTCTTTCTCTGAAATATTCTCACTCTTTACTTATCTCACCGTTTTTTTCTCTGAAAAATTTTCTTTTTCTTTTCTTTTTAACTCTTGATCTCTTTGATGTGGCCTGTTTATCTTTGTAAAAGATTCTGCCTTTTTTTTTTTTTCGTTTGTTTTATTGTTCTTTCTTTCATTTGTTCTTTCGTCCTTTCTTTTATACGTCCTTAGATTTGTTCGTTCTTACTTTCGGTCTTTCGTTTGTTCTTTCTTTCGTTTGTTCTTTCTTTCTTTCGTTTGTTCTTTCTTTCGTTTGTTCTTTCTTTCGTTTGTTCTTTCTTTCGTTTGTTCTTTCTTTCTTTGTTTTTTTCTTTTTCTTTCGTTCGTTCTTTTTCTTTTTTTTTTCTTTCGTTCGCTCGTTCTTTCTTTCTTTCGTTCGCTCGTTCTTTCTTTCTTTCGTTCGCTCGTTCTTTCTTTCTTTCGTTCGCTCGTTCTTTCTTTCTTTCTTTCGTTCGCTCGTTCTTTCTTTCTTTTTGTTTTCTTTCTTTCGTTTCGTTCTTTCTTTCTTTCGTTCGCTCGTTTCTTTCTTTCGTTTGTTCTTTTTTTTTTCTTTTCGTTTGTTCTTTCGTTCGTTTTCGTTCGTTCTTTCTTTCGTTTGCTCGTTCTTTCTTTCGTTCGTTCGTTCGTTCTTTCTTTCTTTCTTTCGTTCGCTCTTTCGTTTGTTCCTTTCGTTCGCTCGTTCTTTTTTTTTTTCGTTTCTTTCTTTTCTTTCTTTCGTTCGCTCGTTCTTTTTCTTTTCTTTCGTTTATTTTTTTTTGTTCAATTTTCGTTTTTCTTTCCTCGTTCGCTTCAAAAGATTTCTTTTCGTTTGTTCACTTTTTTGTTTGTTCCACGCTCGTTCGAATTCTTCTTGTTGTACTGAATTCAAAAAGATATCTTCCTTTCCATTCCTCCACCCTTCGTTCTCTGTTTGTAATAAATGCTTCTTTTCAACTTCTCTTTCTTTGAAATCTTCTCCAGCTCTCTTAGATAATCCTTTTATTATTATTTTTTTTCTGTAATCTCACACTTGAACGTGCTTTGTCATTTTATTTTATCAGTATTTTTATTGTTTTTCCCTTATTTCTGGTTATTACTCACTACCCGTGTATGTTTCTCTCACTATCTCTCTCGTTTCTTTCATTTTTTTCTGTCCACCCACGATATTCTCTCTACTCCCATAAAAGTATTAAACTTCTGCTGAATGCAAAACTCTTGTGGGTATATATGTGTTACTGTTATTGCCGATAGCACTGAGCCTTTCATTTGTATTGAAATTGGATTAGGTTTGTTTAACAAGGACTGACTGGTTGGCGAAAGTCTAGTCTTGGACAATGGAAAGAATGATATTCAAACTGAAGAGGAAGTGGCGAGAACAAATAAGTAAAATATAGAAACTGTAGAAATGAAATAATGGGCAAAATAAAAATGAATATAATTATGAAGAACTGAGTTGAAATAAAACAACCACTACACTAAAAACTTACTTCTTTTCTTCTGATATCCATGTAATTGCTTATAACTAGGATGAGCAAAGCCTCGAGCTACACATAGCAAGTGAAATAACGGGTTTTTTGCGCATCTGTCATAGTTGCTCCTGGTCTGTATTGCCTAGAAAACAGAATTGAGATTTTCAAGGCAAACAAAACTTTCCCATATTTGTCATTCTGTTGTATGAAGCTTATGTTAATAAATATCGAAATAGCGTTATTGGATCCTGAACGAGAACTGGAAGCTTTCTGTCGACAATAACTACTGACCTATTCAATGAGAGGTTGATTTTTCATCGAGAAGTCTCCATTGTAGACAGCAGCGAAAGGTGTGGTCAGTTCGGGTCAAGCCTGTAAGTGGGAAAGACTGATAAATTGTTTTCTATGTACGCAAACAATAGGTAAAGTTGTAGCTAAAATAAAATCTATAATAAACCTTTTATACAACATCGGAGCTCATGTTGAATGCCTTGACTCTCTTGATCTATAAGAGAAAACAATTTATTTCAGGTCTTATTTGTCTTTCGGTATATTTTAGTTAATTTTAGAAAATGTCTTAAATCCACCTTAATGCATTTCTGCACGAACAGCCAACCAGAACAGCCCGACGGAAAATGTCCAAAATAATAATTGACGTCTGTATAACATTGTCACAATAATTTATGTAGTTGGGAACATGATTTTAAGTCACTAGTTCTTCCACCAGCAATTCTCGTAGAGGCTCGAAAGAGTGTTTGACGACCATTGTTGTTATTCGAAAGTGAACAGTCTGTTGCGTCATCATGTTCTTTTCTAGTGCTTTCTTGGGACAAATATACTAAAGTTGGCTAGTCTCTGAAAATCGAATTAGGTATTTTTCACCGGTAGAAAGGTTTCTTATCGTTGTGTCAGACAGCATAATGCATATAGTCTGAATTAACTGCTTTTATTGCACTTAATAGGAAAAATTTACGAACTACTCGTTAGTGAGGTAAAAAAAAAGAGGGAATGAATGAGAGAGAATTATTTTTTTTGTTTGCTCATTCCTAACAGTTTCAGGTCCGAGTGTTCGTAAGACGTAAACTTTCTCACTAATTGATAAGTTGTTAATTATGTTCTACGATTAACAATCAATAAAAGGCGTTTATAACACACTACATCTACTTCTATAAACGAAATTGTTTTCTTCCTTTTCCCATCTTACCTTTTTCTGTGATGACCAATGGCAATCATCGAATCAGGATTTGCAACCTTATTGCAATACAATTATGAAGTACTGTCGTTTGCTTATCTGATTAAATCATTCAAGCTTGTTTGATCCCGACACTATGGACTTTAACTCTCTAAGATTTATTTGTCGACTTCCCATTTTTTTGTTTGTGGATTTACAGACGTTAGTAAATATTCTGACTACACATTATTTGATATTTCTACAACGGTTTTTTCAGAAATCTAATTCCAACAACACGTGGGGCCAGTTGTTATGATTTTCTTCTTCTTTTAAACCAGTCACAAAATAAATCGTTTTTTTTTTCTTTATTTCAAATCAAAACCGTTAAACTTGAACTTATACACAACTATTTCAGCCTAAATTTCACCTTATACAATTTTCAAAAGACACTCATGTTAGAGGGTTACGGAATGAATTGTTTCATATGAACATAAACGGAAGGAGAACAAGGTTAATATTATGAGGATAAATAACGATTCACCCATGATTGAAGAAGTTTAAATTATCGTGTTTAGAGAACTATCCACTTGGGAGTTTGCTCTACAAAGTAGGAGTTATCGAGAAAAATCTATCTGAATACGGGCGGAATGCGAGTGATTCAACTCTGTGGATGTAGAGTAGAATAAGCAGGTGAGGTTAAGTGTAATTGACAAAATTCTCAATTAACACTATTGAAAGGAAGGTGAAAGAACAGAGAAAATATGAAATGCAAGTTAAATACAAAGCAAAGTTTGCAAAAGCTGGACAGTGGTCACACACAAAAGGTTCTACAGTCAAGTGGTCATAACCGTCTGACTTCGAGGCAAGAAAGAACAAAAATATGGGGGCAAGATCGATAATTGTCCATCTTTTATTGGTTGAGAAGAAATCCCAGAATGCCCCTGTTGGATTTATCAATTTGGAAAGTGGGGGTTAGCAGTCATTCCTGTCAGTTCTAACAAACACTTAGTCATGGCGAGTACTAGCTGTAAAGGTCTGAATTGGTGGAAACAAAGAGAGGAACTCATCTTAAGCAAACTAACTTATGGTTAACAAAGAGTTTAAATCACTTTCCGAACGTTATATTTGTTTACGAAATAAGATATTCACATAGATATTAAATGTGTTTAGTCAGTTCTTTTGTATGCGACGCGATAACATAATACTAATATCCACGTTTGATTCATAGAAATAGTCAATAGCGACTGGAGTGTGTTTCTTTATAACTGTCTCTCCTCTCGTGTGAGTTTATTTTCATGCTTGTGACATGTTTTGTGTGGAAGCATACGCGCTCCTGCTGTAAACACTGTAAATTTTATGTTTCCAAACAATGTCACCGATTATTTACACTATTTATATTAAGATCTATTGTCTTCATCTTTGTTGTTTTTATCACAACATTTCGGCTGTTGTACCCTCTGGCCTTCATCAGCTGTATATTGATCTGGTTAACTTACAGGAAATTTTAATCTGAACTGAACTCTTTATTTAATCTACGGCGGTAGACTGTTCCACTGCCCATGTCTAAGGGATAGCTCATCTAGTTCTTGTTTTTAATACTATTCAGTTATTGTTGGTTCGTTGCCACTGAGGCCAAGAAGACACCACTTGGCCCAGGGATTGAACATACAATTGGTATGTGATCAAATTCCCAAACCAACGCTTTAAGCCACTAGACTATTTTCCCGTTGTTGATTAAAGCGTGTTATAGTAAAAGTAAGAACAAGACGGGCTATTCCTAGACATAGACAATGAAATGAGAACAGTCTAGCCCCGTAGATGGAATAAAGGGTTTAGATCAGAATTTCCTGTAGGTTATCCCGATTAATTATACACCTGATGAAGGCTGGATGGAACAACGGTCGAAATGTTTTGATAACAACAAAAGATGAGGACAACATTCTGAATATAAATAATGTAAATAACGATAACTTCTCATCCTAGAAATTTGAACAGGAAAGTCAATGATATACGTTCTTATATTACGTTTCAGGCCGGATAGAAATTGAAGTGAGTGCGTATTAAACCCTGGAGATTTTTTTTTCCGGAATTTCAGAGTCCAAAGATATGTTTGCGCATTATATATGAGTAATTACATTAATGGTCAATCATACTGGTGCGCTAAGCACTAGTCGAAGCCGAAACGCTCGTTGCAGCTGTGTCTGCTGATTCAATCACTATCCAAATTTCGCAATTGTTTCGTCTTTTCCGATTTCTGTTGTCTCCCTCACGTGACACACAATTTACGTGGTCAGAGCTGCGCTGTATGTTCAGAACCAACTTCAGGCATTTCATCAAAATGCCTTGCTGACCTCATTATTTTAAGTTCTCCATTTCTGGAGGTTCGGTCTGTTGCTTTTGCATCTAATCCGCCATGAAACCATTTGGGGCGGGATGGGAAAGGTGAGCGAAGGGGTAGTAGTCAAAGGAATTATCCCCTTCACTTGTCGATGTGTGTGAGACTCGGCGTCTTTGTTCCAAGAGCTGAATAGTCAAAGCTTGATTTCTCCGGGGAAAAGTGATAAAGATATCGTACTCAACGGACGAGGAAATAATAAAGAAGCGCAAAGTACAAAAAAAGAAAAGAAAAACAGAGATGACAACAAAATGTATGTAGAAGTGAAAAAGTTTCCTCGAAAGCAGAAAATCGTTTGAGTTCAAAGAAGGGAAAGAAATCAAACCGCTTAAGATATCCACTAGAACCTTGGATATTTAAACCTATACATAATGCTATCTATTGTGGAATCGGAGAGCCGAGTTCGAATTACAGGCGAATCAATTACATTACCCTTGGGAAAAGGTATTAATCCTCTTCTTCTCCCTCCAGCTAAATAGCAGGACAGATTGGGTTCTATAGCCTTGGATGGCAACTGGTCTAGGAAAAGGACAACTCTGAATTCATAACCTCCGGAGGGTCGTTTGTGAACCTTGTGGCACGTAGTGCCCCAGGTCTCTGTATTCGGCCCTTCAAAGAGTGTGGATGCTTCTAAACAAAGCCTTCACCACTATAATCATATCATATGTGCTGGTCTCTGGCTGTCGGTTCCTAGGAACTGAGCAGCTTGACACTCATACATCGAATTCGACGGTTGAGTCCACCATACACACACACACATATATATATATATATATATATATATACTATGCCCATTCAGGACGTAGAAAATCATGGCAGGTTTCTTTTCTTTATTATCAGTGATTTACCATACTTTCTTGAAAAAGATGGTGAAGTGGTTTCCCATTTCCTTTGCCGACACGAGCAGACATTCAGTGCTAGGAGCGAAGTCATCCTTCTATTTAGGCCGAGAAAAAATTTCATATGCCTTTTGCAAGAGCATTTGTGTGAAAATAAACGCAACGCAGCTAGAATGTGAAATTGGCTTGTTGTCTCTACTTAGTCTGCCGATTATTACTCTCCCTACACATGATTTAGAGCAACTATTAGAAACTGTTGTAAATTTCTTCTGTTTGTCATGTCCCTTGTACATGAACGATCATAGCTTTTCA